CGCTCAGCTCCCGCTCAGCTCCCGCTCAGCTCCCGCTCAGCTCCCGCTCAGCTCCACTCAGCTCCCGCTCAGCTCCGCTCGACGGACTCAGCGCAATGCACTCTACGGACGGACCTCCCCCGCAGGCGTCTCGGCCGTGCACCCGGGCGAGTGCTCCCCGCTGGAGCGCGCCGTCAGCCCCTTCCTCTACGCCTCCCTCCTGGCCGGCAGCCTGCGCTCGGCCCGAGGCTCGGCCCGAGGCTCGACCCGCACCGCCGCCGAGGACTACGAGAAGCTGCAGCAGTGCTACAGCAAGAACGCAGTGAGTTCGGCACTCGGCCCATAGGACACAAGTGCAATAAAGTTTACTGGAAAATTCACATCTTTGCTGGTCTAGGTGCGCGAATTGAAAATTTAATCACCTCCAATAAGTGTGCGACATTCATCCACTTGGGTTTTTATTGTACAACCCACATTTGTACGATCCCTAGTCCTGCTCTGAGCATTTGCGGCCAGCTACCTTTAATGTTGGTCGTACCAAATAGGGGTCGTGTTCCAATGGTTTGTAATCGGTCCCCATGTTGTACAAACGGTTTGGCCCCGACGTTACCCAGCTCTCTATCTCTCTCGCGCCTTTTTGTTTGAAGTCTTTAAATAAAATTCTTTCAATTCAAATTGCTCTCTATGCTCCAGTGCGACACGGTGACCTGCAGCGCGTGCCGGTCCGACGTGAGCTGCCACACCAAGTGCCAGCTCAACTGCTACTGCGGCTGCGACAACGCCCCCGGGAGCAGCGTGGACAAGGCGGACCTGGTGACCACGTGCCTGCTGCACCGCGCGTGCGCAAGCGTGCACGCCTCGTGCTGGGACGCGTGCAGCACGGACGACTGCCGCCTGTCGTGCTTCTTCGACAACCTCAAGTGCAGCTGCGAGTGCAATGCTGCGCCCGCCCTCCGGCCCGTCGCGCTTGGCCTCGGCGTCGCGCTCGCGGCCCTCGCCCGGGCCTTCACGGCGGCCAGGTGGTGAAATGAAGAAGGACCACCACGCTCTCTGTCCCGTCGTGGTGCCTAGTGTCTACACGCCAGTATAACAAGGTAGACGCACGTTAAAACCGTGTGAAGCTGAGCTAAATGTGCGTCTACCTTGACCTGCGGCGCGCTAAAATGAAAACGTTATCGCGATTTTGGTTGGCATGCCTGTCCACCTCACATCCCACGTCTCACGCCAGGCGCCTCACTTCACGCCGTCTTCCGGGCGGTCTCCCCTTGCGCTTCCTGACAGAGCTGAGCATTTAAAGTTAAAGTTTAATTTCAAGTTCAAGTTAAGCTCAGCAATGAGTTGCCTAGGCGCTGGCTCTCAGGCGCTGTGGCCGGCCACCCCGCAGACTCGCGGCTACCCCCGCAGCCCGGCGCAGCCCGCAGCCCGCAGCCCGCAGCCCGCAGCTGACAACGAGGGTAGCCGAGCCGGGGAAGACGGTGATGTCAGGAGGCCGAACGTGCTCATTCTGCACCCACGCCTCCCCAACACCTGGACACTCACGGACCTAACCGACCTACAATAAAGCATTCCGGTAAAGCTGAAGTGCAGAAGAATGCGTGGAACAAGAGAACAGAAGTCACCATGTAAAGCATAGCGGTTTCCGTTTTTCTTCCCCGCATTCTTTAGCATTTCAGCTTTACCAGAATGATTTGGGGCGATAATGGTTCTAGATTTCTTCGGTATAATCTTTTGCGAAAGAACCTTGTGTTCAGTACTCCCACTGGCATTTCCCACTCTACAATTCGGTTGCTTTCGAGAATTCTGGGGGAATGTACCATTGTATTAAAAAAATGTTTTTATTACCATTTTTATGACAATGTGTAAAATAGCTGACTTGTTGACTAAACTGTGGCACACGGGTCCACACAAGACAATAGACTAAGGATAACAGTACATATTTGTGAATCAGGAACACCAGAACATGTATAATGAAAAGTGGGATTGACCTAATTTTAAAAAGGGTAAAACAATTTCATATACCAAAACATGTGATGTGATATTATTGAAATCTATTCACTGTAATACCATTTACAGCGCAAATTTTACAGTCTCTGATTAAATGATGTGATACAAAGTGTGCACAGCCGATTTTGATCATTAGAAAATAGTGTCAAGTTCAGTCAAGTTATAGAGAAAGAGATAAAAGACTTCCTAGACCCCCCATAAAATTACAAGCACAACACAAACATGCAAAACCCAACCAAAATGTAACTACCAACACCACATAGACATCTACGATGCAAGACAAAGAAGGCAGGAATAAGAAGTCATCGTCAAGAGACAGTCCATACAGTGGACTCTCGCTAACTGTCGCCTCGCTAACAGTCGCGTGCGAGAGAGATATCGATAGAAAAATAGGAGGAGTGGGGAGATCGGAGCAAGGCAGCAGCGAATGCACAGTACCCTCGATAGCTGTCGCGGCGACAGTTAGCGAGAGTCCACAAGTCTGCAGATTGCGTGAGATTGAAGCAGGGAAAGGGGGGGGGGTAAATTTATTTAATCCATAAATCTAAAATATGCAGAAATCAAGGGCACTGATACTCACACTGATACCTTTACACTGTTCGCAAGGAATCATACTAATTTATTGAGCTTTCATGGAGATGCAAAACAACCCCACGACGTACAGTCCCGTACAATGATAGTTTTTATACGTGAACCTGAAACATGCCGAAACTATAACATCGCCAGACACGCTGGTACCACCAGACGCGGGGTGGCTCCGATGGTATCAAAGTAATCCCAGGGGCCAATTATTGCAGCCGCGACTAATCGCCTTGACGACAAAATCGAGGGGTTAATCCCTTGACATTTTCCTGTTCACATGAGGAACTAAGGGTCACTTTAAGGGCTTTTTCAATTCTTATCGGCTATTTATTGGCATAGCGAAAGAAAATGAGATACCGCTATCGCGATGTTATTCCCTGCTGGGTTCGCACTACATAAAGGCACAAGGACTCCTGGCAGACCGCAGTCCAGTACTTCGCAGCCAGCAGGAAAAACACATTCTCCGTTATCACAGCAAAGCAGAAGGTAAGAGTGTCAGCAACGGTAAAAGTTATTCTACGACGCAATGCCGTGAGCCGTATATCCACATCCACAGGATCAATGGATCAAATGAAATGAAGCCAATGTATTTTACAAATGATAGATGTACTCTATTTTTTAGTTTAAAGTTGATAGGAGACCTTCACAAGATCAAGCCCCTGTATTCTACGTTGATGCGACACCCTGCTCTAGATGGTGCAGTGCGCGATGCTGACCGCCCCGGTGCTGCTGGTGCTGCTGCCGCTCGCCCTGGCCG